ACAGAAGAACATAAAAAACACTGCAAGTTGAGTTGCCTCATTGACTCCAGTGCTTGTGATTAAAATATGGAAAAAGCCTGTTCAGGACTGGGATGATATGCTCTATTGATGACATGAATAGTCTAGCAGAAAACACTGCAGGAAGATGACCCGTCTACTTCTACGACATTCATGAACTCTTTGTTAATGGAGCAGAAGTATAATCTGAACCACACCAGCAGGCCTGCCTCCAAACAACATGAGGAAGTTCCTGTGTGCGTCAGATTTATGGGCGGACCAGAAACATGCAAATACAAAGGTTCTGGCAGGAACCTTTGAATGTAAAAACAAGCAAAGTGATTAATCGGGTTTACATTTTAACACCTTATAATCTTTGTAATTAAGTAACCATTGTTATTTAATTACCTTTGTATTCCCGCCAGAATCCAAAGGTTCTGGCAGGAAGCTTTGTATGTAAAAAGCGATTGTTTAAATTTTTAACACGTTATAAGCTACGTAATTAATTAATGGAATTAGCATGTGAAATTCCCAGTCCTAACTGGCAACAGTTTTCACAAATTGTGGCAGTTATTTAGTTTAGGAGGCAGCTAGTTTTTTCATGCTGATTTTACTTTTATTTTGACTTTTATGTATTTATCCAGGGCTGCACAGTGGTGCACTTGGTAGAGCTGTCGCCTTGCAGCAAGAAGGTTCTGGGTTCAATTCCTGGCCCCAGTCTTTCTGCATGGAGTTTGCATGTTCTCTCTGTGCATGTGTGGGTTTTCTCTGGGTACTCTTGTTTTCTCCCACAGTCCAAAAACATGACTGTCAGGTTAATTGGTTAGTTGCCCTGCGACAGACTGGCGACCTGTCCAGGGTGTACCCCGCCTCTTGCCCCGAACGTTAGCTGGAGATGGGCACCAGCGACCCTCCCAACCCCACTAAGGGACAAGGGTGTAAAGAAAATGGATGGATGGATGTATTTATCAGACTGAACATCTGAGAAATAAAACAGACTGTTTTATTTGGACATGAAATGTTTTGTTAACAGACACAAAATGGAGATAATCTGGGACAAATTAGCAATATTAAAGTTATAAAACCGGGAAGGGCAAAGTGGATTTAGCATCTTATTTTATAATTCATATTTTATGTGTCATTTCCAGGCATGTAGTGAAACAAATTCCCTAATTTTTTTTTTTTACAGAAACATTTCCTGTGTCCAGTGGAATCCCCCCCCCTCAAGCCCACCAACAGCCACAACCTGATACATCAAACCTCACAGACGGCGATGAATAAAAAAATGCACCCGAGTTTTACTCATAGATATTGTGTGACCACGCTGCCTTTTACTTCACAATGGGTTCACTTCTTTCCTGTTTGGACAGCGCTCAAGTGATCTGTCTCATTGTGCTGGAAACATCAAGCTCAACGCCAGTGTGGCCTGGGAATGCCATGAAGCGGGCTCTGTGTTTCTCAGACTCTAGCTGCAGGGCGCAGTTAGTCAGCACCGCTCCGTGCATGCCTGCAGGTAACAGGGATCCCCGCACAAGGTGTAAAGCTGGTGGAGGATCAGCGTAAAGCCTCAGACCAGCAGACAGGTTTCCGTTACACCTCAAGGATTGTTTCGCACCCTCACTCAACCAGGCTCCAGAGAGAATAATGCCGTTGTGCTGGAGGGCACGGTGGTTATATAGTGGAGCTGCTGCTAAAATTGCTTGAGAAGGTGTGAAACCGAAGTTCACATTGTGTTTCAGCCTACTGTGACTCCAAGCATGAACAATTGAGAACCACTTTATCTTGGCAATAAGCGTCACGCAAGCTCTTTTAAACGTGACGTTCGTCCAAAACCCTTCAGAAAAAGACTTTAGGTTCATGTTTCTTCTTCACTTTCATGTCTGTCACAGTGCAGACTGTCTTAAAACAATCGTGGTTTTACATTTTTATTTTTACATTAGATTTTTTCTTTGCTCTCTATGGAACAAATGGGAAAATAACATTTATTTATTGACCTTAGCATTCCTCCTTTGTGCAGCAGGATTTTATCAATTTAACAACTGAAAGAAGACAGTAAAGTCTCTAAACGTCTGTTGAATGAGGGGTTGGCTTGCTCCAGAATAAATAGTCGAGATTCACACCCACTATCCACCCCGATCAGCTGCCACATCACAGAACAATCGACTTCAGTTGTCAACACACCCAGAAGGACACAGACGGGTCTGAATGTCGCTACACTTGCACAAATGCGCCTCGCACGTAGCTGCTGCTCTTAAAGCAGCTGAAAATACAACGTCGCCTTCTGTTTGAACTTTGGAAATGTGGCTAAGAGTGAGACGTTCACGTGAAGATATCTACTGATGTCTAAAGCTGGTTAAAAATCTGTCACCAACAAGTAAATCAAAACTGCACATTTTGTTAGTAAAGTTGTCCTTTGACAAGCCAGAGCTGTTTTGTTTGCTACACCCTGTAATTCGACATTGCCAAATTTCTTTCTTTGAAAAGGGTTTATAAAAGATTTTAGTAAAAGTTATGTGTGTCGTTTTTAATCTAGTATTATCATCAGTAGTGAGAGAGTCTCTGCTGCTAAAATGAGACATATACAAACAACTTTAAAGTAAGAAGAAGAAGAAATATGCACAGTTTTACCCCTCAGTGCTAAAGGTAAAGTCTACAACTGTTCTGTATGGGCAAAAAAAAAAATACTTTTAAACTTGTAGCCATTTAATATTTTAACCCCGAGTAGCTAAATGTTACAGGAAATGAATTCTTAGTTATGAATAGTGCATGATGTCTTTTCCTGTGCATGCTCAGAAACCTGGGGCCTCTTCACAGTGTCCGAATGTGTTTTGGAAAGCCGGTTAATTAGTCCCTTTGAGTGGTTTCCAGAAACCATCAACTGACCTCAGTCATGTAGCCTCTGCTAATTAGAGGGAAAATTCAAGCCACAGAGCTGGAGGTTGAGGTTAAGCTCATCGTATTTACGATAAGCCGGGTAATTGAGGGATGTTGGCCAGCGCCTTGATGTGTTGTAAAGAGACACTCGAGCAAGTGATCTCTGCCACTCATGGCCTAAATCGACATGCTGGGCCGATTCTAGCTGCTGGTTGTGAACCAAGCAGCAGCAGCGGCAGCAGCAGCAGCAACCTAAAAAAAGAAAACACTCATTGCTTCTTCTTCACGCCTGAATAGCTACTTATAAGGTTACTTCTAAATTGTGTTGAGCATTTTTAACTCAACCAAACAGAACGGATAACTAAAACAGCTTACTTTTAATTATGTTAGTGTTGGTCTAAAAAACACTCAGTCTGATTTACTTTAGCATGATACAGAAGATTAGGTTAGTGAAGAAAAAAAAAAACAAATCTGACTTTTGATCTCATAATTTTAAATTCAGACTGCTGATAAAAAGTCAGAATACTGAGAAAAAGCATGAAAGCTGAGATGTACCACATGTTTATCAGTCTGGGTAACTTCCTCTTGTTCTTCAAAATAAGAGCCTCATGCATAGTTACTGTGTAATCATTCTTCCTTAGGAAAATAAATGGCCTCTGTGAATGTTACTGCTTCTATCAGCAAAAAGCTAAATGTTATCTTACTGCTATGGATCCAAAAATGACTCTTGAATATAAAACATACGTAAAGTTTTAACCCTACAACACAATAGTCCATCCAGTTTCTTTTCAACTAATAAGCCATAAACAGCAAGAATTTACTTTTATGACCTTTCTTAATTCGTCAATTTTTTTTATTATTTCTGTAACTGTTGTAGAAAGGTTTTAGAAAATACATGAGGAGTAGAATATAGCATACGCTGTATATTGTAACTGAGCTGAAATAATGGTACACTTAAAAAAAAAAAAAGGCTTTATGCAAAAAAGACGTACAGGGAAGGTTAAAAAAAATTGGAAACATGTTTGGAGTGTGAGAGCAGACATCGACAGCCATCACTCTGCAGGTAAATTATTCCTTGTTGATATTTTCACAGAAAATAGGGGATTTAAAAACAGTAACAGTCACTCTGGATGCTTTGTGTTTTGGTAATTCACTAAAAAATGTCCCCCAAAACACAGGAGGAGTTTTTTTTTTTCTTTTTTAATTACCACATATTTACTGCTGAAGCTCAAAGAGTGATGTAAAAAATTACAATAATATTTATGCTCATCCTGTAACCAGGACGTCTGTTATAATTATTTTCATTATAAATCACTTTTGTGACTGCAATTAATATAACTGTTCACCATTTGCACAAGACAGATTAATTACGGTTTAATTTTTAATTTCATAAATTAACAAATGTTTTATTATTATCATTATTATTTTGTGTTTGTTGATTTAGACACTGAGGGAATGAAAAACCCAGGGATCATATCATATTAAACTAGTTTCTTCTTGATGTGATTATTGTCTTAAAGATATAATTACTCCACAAGTGTCATCGTAAGTAACGTCCCAAATTACCAGCCGTCCCATTTTGAAAATCCTGCTACATGTTTTTAGTCTTAATTAAAATCTGTGAACCAGAACAGAACCAAAGAAAGGCAGAAATAAAACGTCTCTGTTTTAGGTCGCACTAGCTGTTATTCACATCAGTTCATCTTTCCGGGGTTCAGTGGTGGGAAGAGTGAAGCTCTTCCTGAGGAGATTATATCCAGCTAACGTACTTCATTTATTGCAGCCAATTAGCCGTAACGCTTCAGCTCTCCATGAGCCCTTTGGCCTTCGTCTTTGTCTCTAATGACCCTGACTAAATTCTGGATCTCTATCAGGCCCGAAGGAGGTCCTGTTCTGTTTCAGGGTTTTCAATAGAGCAGTTTGTCTTTCGTACAAAAGGTGACTGAGAGAATCGTAAAGGAAAGCAGAGAGGAGATCAGCGATGGGGACAGAGATCCATCTACTGTTTCTGCTTCTGAGAGCCGTGGCTCGACAAGACTTGGCCAAGTGAGATCAAGCCATACAGAATATTCATCACTCCATCGGGAGTTTCAAAGACAAATTAAATATGCTCACAGTACCGATTTCCAGTGGACACGTTCCACTTGCTGTCAAGGAGCCTTTACTCGTTTCCTCAACATTCCAAAACACACAATTTTTTTTTTTTTTTTTTACTTCTTCTTTTGGTAAATCTGAAAAGCTTCATTTATTTCTCCCTGCTCTGTTTCATTATTCAGCACCCAGATGTTTTCTCAGATTTGGACAAATTATGCAATTCCCCGAGCGAGCAGGCAGAGACTGCGGTGCGCGTTCTGTCAGCGGATGATAAAATGCAGCTCGATTAAAAAAGAGCTGTGAGAACTGCTCCGCTGCGGAGAAACCAGGGATCCCTGGTGAAGCTCCGAGCAGCAGGAGCGAAGGTTAACGCTAAGCTGAGGATTTATAGCAGGACCCAGCAGAGGAGGTCCACCACTACAAAGCTTGGGAAACGTCTCTTAAGAGTCCATCAACATTAAAAATGAAGTTCGAAAGCCATCAGAAATAAAAATTTAATGCTGCAACTGCACTTCTGAAATACCTATAATAATTAACTAACTTTTTATGTTGACAACTTTTAATTTCTGGGGCTTTTTGCACTTTGTCAGTTTGCATCTTTCCTCACCAGGTTATTCAGAATATGAAGCATTTCTGATGTGTTAGATAACAGTAAATAACTTCTGAAAAATAAGATTTTAGATGAAAAACGCAAGAAAGTAGGTAGTTTTACATATACTTGAATTTTTTTGTTTTGCATAATTTTCAATTTTAACATTTTATGAAACTTGCTACAAATATAATTTCACAAATAGATGAAGTAAGATGAAATGAAATGAAAAGAAAGAAAAATGCTGTCAACTAACTTTTATCTGATTTTTCTAGAACAGGTGCAAAAAAGCAAGTTTAGGTAAAACATCCACCTCAACAGGTGAGACAATACAGAGTTTTCGGTTTCACAGGACAACACTTTAGAGTCTCTCTTTTCTTGATAATAAAAAAAATATATATTTTTGTGTTTTTTGATGAGATATTGTGTTTTTTGTGACAACAATAAATTCCAATTAAGGAGGTTTGAAAACCCAAAATCTGGCTGAATTGTTATTTTTACTATTTTCTCCACTGTTTCTTTAATGAGAGGATCAGTACATATCAATAAACTCCAAAAATATGAATAAATGCAGTTACTGTGTGCAATGCAGTTATTATAATGACACTTCTTTTACGTCGCTGCTGTCCCGAGGAAGCATAATTAGAAATGTGTGGGGTTTTTAAGAGCTGTATTTATGATTGTGACATAAAAACATATTTACTCTACACTATTATTAATTTTCTGCCTTTTTGACGATTATAAAAATAAAAATATAAGTGGCCTTTCACTCTGCGGCAGCCCCTGACTGCAGCCCACGTTCAGCTAAATGGTCCGTCTGCATGTGGGGGCTCATAAGGCCTTTCCCTTTCCCAAAAGTCTAACTGGCCACACTGAGCCACGCCGACAAAGAAAGGCCTAATGGCCTCCAATTTCCCGCATTAGTACCCATTTAATGGCTGACCTGCCCTCTCGTTAGGCAGCGCAGCATGGGAGCACTTCGCTGCATTCACCGATGCGCATACACACCCACACAAGCACACACACACACATGCATGGACATTTGGCTCTTCGAAGCCACACCGCCTCGGGCCCCCGAAACACTTCCACCCCACGCTGGGACCACATAATAGGCCAGTTAGTAAAAAGGGGCCGCCCTGTGATCAGCGCTGCATCCAGTTCACTGAGTAATCAACAAGCTTTTGTCTGAGTCGTGTGTGTGGAGCTAGAAGGTGTGTGTGTGTGTGTGTGTGTGTGTGTGTGTGCGCGCGGCAGAGATTCTCTCCAGTTTGTCTTTATTTTAGCATCCGTCTCATTAAAGTGCGTGTCTCCTTGCGGGTGTTTTGGGCGAGTAATTCAAGTGATGCTCCCTGGAGAAGAGAAGTGTTCCCTGTGCTTCATGTTGATGGGGAAAAAAAAAAAGAAAGAAAAAAAAAACCTCCAGCTGACATACAGTGAGGGGATAAAGGGAGCCTGCCTGAGCTACGGCAGGACTGACGGGAGCTCGTTGTGCGTATGTCAGCTATGCCATAAAAATGCCATGGCTGGAGGATGACGCTGGCAGGTCCTATTCAGCACGACGGCAATGAAAGGCCCTTTTTAGGGTGAATAAAGATTCTTTGGCCTGTCAGGTCTCCCATCACTCCCTGCTCAACAATAAACTCTACAGGCGCTTGTCTTAATAGGCGGAGGGTCTGACAGCTTTAGGAGCGATCCGATGCTCAGCCGCGTCCACACAAGCTGGGCTCAGACAACGACCTGCTGTGTGGTAACAATCGCGTCCCGAGCCACAGAGCTGGAGGCGTGAACGCATCCTGTACATTGAGTCTTTAGGGAACCTGAGCTGACAGTGTTGGCGAAACCGCATCACCTCAATGTGAACGGATGCTGTGGCACGGCGGGGAAAGATTTTCTTGCCAAGCGTGAAGATGATTGGAGCTAAACGAGATTTAAGAAACACCAGAAAT